GATCTAGGCTAGGGATCCATGGATCTAGGGATCCACCGATCTAGGGATCCATGGATCTAGGGATCCACCGATCTAGGGATCCATGGATCTAGGGATCCACCGATCTAGGGATCCATGGATCTAGGGATCCACCGATCTAGGGATCCATGGATCTAGGGATCCACCGATCTAGGGATCCATGGATCTAGGGATCCACCGATCTAGGGATCCATGGATCTAGGGATCCACCGATCTAGGGATCCATGGATCTAGGGATCCACCGATCTAGGGATCCATGGATCTAGGGATCCACCGATCTAGGGATGCAAGGATCTAGGGATCCACCGATCTAGGAATCCACCGATCTAGGAATGCAAGCATCTAGGGATCCACCGATCTAGGGATTCACGAATCTAGGGATCCACCGATCTAGGGATGCAAGGATTTAGGTATCCACGGATCTAGGAATCCACCGATCTAGGGATCCACGGATCTAGGGATCCACGATATCTTGAGGTATCTATATTATTGACGTAAAGATACCTCAAGAGACTGAATAGTAAATGTCGAGACAAACATATCAAACTCTTGTCAACTCTTAGTATTGTGAAGTTCATCGAAGTCATCTGACGATATTATGATAACTGAGGTATCTGTATAACTGATGTAAAGATACCTCAAGAGACTGAATAGTAAATGTCGAGACAAACATATCAAACTCTTGTCATCTCTTAGTTTTGTGAAGTTTATCGAAGTCATCTTTAACTATTTAATGTGGGTACCGAATAGTAAATGTCAAGATGAACATATCAAACTTTTATTGTCATTTCCTAGTATGTCATTGTAAAGTTTCTCGAAGTCATCTTACAATATTCTGACAAGTTTGATGTTCACATCGAATGGTAAATATCGAGACAAATACTTTTACTGTCATCTCTTAGCATATCATTGTAAAGTTTCTCGAAGTCATCTCCTGTATTTACGTTTTGATACAAAGTGTTCGACACATGGTAATTTAATAATTTAAAATTGCAAGGACTATAGCTGGTAGACGCTAAAAACCTCAAGGAAACAGCCATATTATTTATGATAAACGATAGCCATCAGTGTCGAAATTTTTGTCAACTCATCTACATTATTTTTATATAACTTTGCCAGTTCCTACGTTTTATTCGTTTTCAGCGAACATTTGGAATGTCCCGCCACAGTCATCAACAGTGGAGATTCTGGGAAGCCAGGGTACTGCTTTCTCTTTCCCCTGAACCGAGTATTACGTTGCGGTAAAACACACGATTTTGAAAAGTTATAACAAGAAGAAGCTCCCTTTACTCTTGGTTACGCCAATGATTATGGCTGACATTCTGGTGCAGCCGCAAGGTTTCGTCGCTCGTCATTACAATATTGAAATGAAGCAGAAATAACAAGTATGTATTGCAATTTTAGTATCTCCTTCTCGTTTACACGGATGTTCCATTTATTTGCCAAAGAAGAATGAATAAGCTTGATATCAAACTATACTCTATTTTACCGATAATTTTATTTATGATTATACAAGTATACACCGAAATAGACGAAGGTGAACCACATAACTCTCGTAATTATTTAATAGTTGCGTATAACTCTTCATAACTTGATAAACTCATTCACGCTGATTAGATGTTATTAAGCGTTTGACGCAAGAGGCATACCAGTTCTACGGGACAATAATCAACTCTTGGAGTTACACTTTTTAAGAACTATTACTTTCTCGTTAATGAATTCGCTCGAGTATGAATTCATCGAGTAATTGCAGCGGGAGATACACTTATAGCATATGTAAATGTTAATAAGAAAATGCGGATCTAGGGATGCGAGGATGTAGGGATGCAAGGATCTAGGGATGCAAGGATGTAGGGATGCGAGGATCTAGGGATGCAAGGAAATAGAGATGCGAGGATGTAGGGATGCGAGGATGTAGGGATGCAAGGATGTAGGGATGCAAGGATCTAGGGATGCAAGGATCTAGGGATGCAAGGATGTAGGGATGCAAGGATGTAGGGATGCAAGGATCTAGGGATCCACCGATCTAGGGATCTACGGATCTAGGGATGCAAGGATCTAGGGATGCAAGGATCTAGGGATCCACCGATCTAGGGATCCACCGATCTAGTGATGCACCGATCTAGGTATCCACCGATTTAGGAATGCACCGATCTAGGAATCCACGGATCTAGGAATCCACCGATTTAGGAATCCACCGATCTAGGAATCCACGGATCTAAGAATCCACCGATCTAGGAATCCACCGATCTAAGGATCCACGGATCTAGGAATCCACCGATCTAGGAATGCACCGATCTAGGAATCCACCGATCTAGGAATCCACCGATCTAAGAATCCACCGATTCGATTAGAAAGGAAAATCGATTATACATTTGTTAAAGCAACGACCGTTTTAAGAATCATTCTCTGAATGATAAAAGTCATGAATCACGCGTAGTGATTCACGCCCGTAACTGCGTATCGCTAAATAAAAAGCAAGAAAAACCTGGTGTACGAAAATTCATGGAAGCTTGTTATCCGATTTCTATTTCAATTTCACTGCCTTCGGTTTTGAAACATTTTCCGAGCGAAGAAGCGAACACGGTCGAATTCGCTTCGGTGATTTCAATGCTTCGCAAGAGAAGTCGACGCGTACGATTTACACAAACGACTCGCGCCATCGCATTTTACATTCTAAACGAACTTATACGGGATTGTGTAAGTAGTCGAATATACAAATATTTTGTTGTAAAATCATTTGATCGGAAGTTTACTCTGTTCTCTAGTTACGTCAATGATGATCAACGTTACTTTGTACCCGAGTCAAGGAAACTGTGCATTTAACGAGGTACGCAAACACGATTATACGCAAGGAGTAGACATAATAAAAGGCGACACTAAAGGAAATCTAGAGAGATCAATTTAAATTCAAAAGAAAGTTTTTTAAAGTCAAAAGAATTGGGGGTGCATAGAAGTATGGTGGAAAGAATAGTTTAAACCTGCACAGTAATTTATTTTTAATAAATATTATCTCGCTTTCGAGACATCAAAGGTGAGTGTCGTCTCTGTTTTCTGTGCTTTGCTGCTGTTTTAAGACAGTAAATAAACAGAAGATAAGTTAGTAACAGTATGAATATAATAAAATCTGGAAAGTTTAAAATATTCATGATTCACCAGACAGGAAAGTTTGAAACTTTGGTCTTCTTTGTTAAACTTGTTTCAGACAAGGAAAGTCCATCTTCCGCTACTAAAGATAAACTCGAACAAAGAGAAGCTGAAGGACGCTGACCTTTACCTCAAGAAACACGAGAACAACTTCTCAAGAAGAAAGAACTTCATGTTCCAATCAGACGTCTCATAAATTATGAATCAAACGCGTAACAAATACAAACACCATTTTTTATTTTCGAACTGCAAAAAATGATTTTAAAAATGAATGATGGGAAATGTAACTTCTTGCGGGATCAAAGTTCATAAAGAAAAAGCGATCGAGCCAGTTTCCTGGTACTTTTATGATGATCTTATATAAAACAGGGAAAGACGCGTACGTCACTGAGATTGACGAAAGAAGTATCATTACCACGATCGTCTGTACGTTCATTTTTAATGAATTCTGTCATAAAAACAAACAATTTGTCTTCAAAAAACTTCGGGTAATTAATGGTTTACACGGAACATTTAAAATTTACATTTTTCTTCAGCTGTTTTTTACTTTTGTATTTTTCTGTGTTTGTATAAATATTGTGGATTGATGTGAACTTTTAAAAAATTTATGAAAGGGTTAATTGATATATTCTGCGGTGTAAGGATTTTAGAATGTAGAGAGATTCGCGAATCTAGGACTTTAGGAGTCTAAGAGATTTAGGGATTTAGGGATCCTCGGATCTAGGGATGCAAGGATCTAGGGATGCAAGGATCTAGGGATCCACGGATCTAGGGATCCACCGATCTAGGGATCCACCGATCTAGGGATCCACCGATCTAGGGATCCACCGATCTAGGGATCCACCGATCTAGGGATCCACCGATCTAGGGATCCACCGATCTAGGGATCCACCGATCTAGGGATGCAAGGATCTAGGGATCCACGGATTTAGGAATCCACCGATCCAGGGATCCACCGATCTAAGGATCCACCGATCTAAGAATCCACCGATCTAGGGATCCACGAATCTAGGGATCCACGAATCTAGGGATCCACCGATCTAGGGATCCACCGATCCAGGGATCCACCGATCCAGGGATCCACCGATCTAAGGATCCACCGATCTAAGGATCCACCGATCTAGGGATCCAAGGATCTAGATATCCACCGATCTAGGAATCCACCGATCTAGGGATCCACCGATCTAGGGATCCACCGATCTAGGGATCCATCGATCTAGGAATCCACCGATCTAGAGATCCACGGATCTAGAAATCCACCGATCTAGGGATCCACCGATCTAGGGATCCGATCTAGGGATCCACCGATCTAGGAATCCACGGATCTAGGAATCCACCGATCTAGGGATCCACCGATCTAGGGATCCACCGATCTAGATATCCACCGATCTAGGAATCCACCGATCTAGGGATCCACGAATCTAGAAATCCACGGATCTAGAAATCCACGGATCTAGAAATCCACGGATCTAGAAATCCACGGTTCTAGAGACCTAGGAATCTAGGGATCCTGGGACCTAGGGACCTAGAGACCTAGAGATCCACGGATCTAGGAATCTAACAATTTAAGAATCAAAAAATCTAAAAATCGTGGAATCCCACAATTTCAAAATCTAAAAAGGAATCTAGGGATTCAAGAATCTAGAGAGCTACTAATCTACATAATCATGTGACGTCTTAATTGTGAGTACTAAGTAACTAACTCTATTCGTAGGTTATTAATAATACATTTTCTGAATACCTTAATCATCGTGTTTGTCACCGATTACATTTTTTGTCGGTTTCTCAGAAGATCAAGGAAATATGATTGCTAAACCGGATTTAGAGTATGATACCTTTTGGCTACTTCGTATTTGCAACACGCTCTTTAGTAACACTCTTCATTAGAAAGCTTACAATTTCATATTTCGCAAATAAAAAAGAGTCGCGTTAATTAACTGTAATGACTCTCTAATTGTTCGAAATATGTGTAGGCTTCAAGTTTAAATAACTGCTTATTGTCTTACTTTCATTAGCATCATTAAACTAGAATTCTAAAGAGTTTACCAAAATTCGAAATTACCAAAGTTTTGTGATTAAATGTCTACTCCTTTGATCATTATTATTCTAAATATTTTTTGTCCAAACTCACGGTAAAAGATGAGAAACGTCAAGGTTTAAGAAACGCGTTTCTGCCCGTTTACGAAATCCTTTCTTCGCCAATAGTACCGCGAACTTTGTATTCCGTTTAGATTCCGGCGTGCTAAGCACACCATTTATGAGCATAAACGCGTCCTTTGACGGTGACACTGAAAAAGTGGCCGGTCTCGACAGAACGGAAAGTTTTGATATGCAAATCGCATCCTTGAATCGTAAATGAAGGGCAACGATCGTCCTACGTCAGATCACATATTTTTCTTGAAAAATATCACTTCACCGGAGAAAACGCTACAGATTATTTTGAAAAAGAGTACACGAAAGAAAATGATGCAAGAGTAAAAAAATAGTCTTCGATCGAATTATTATTATCGTCTTACTAAATAATAGCTTAGTCAGGAAGGAAAAAAGAACAGGCTGTTGAGTAACGGTATCAAACGGAATGTAACACTTTCAAAATCGCTATCTTTACCTGATTACATCAAGCTATTGAATAACACCGTGTTTCGGAAGAAGTTAACTTCTTCCTGCCTGCGTTGCAACTGTTTTCAGTGAAACGTATTCTCACCGGTCAGAATACTCGCAAATAAGATAACGAGCGGTCCAGAAGACGCAAATAAAATAATCTTGAAACAATAACGCAATTCAGTGATATGCAGAGTATAAAAATAGAAGCAGGCAAGCGCGCAAGATTTTTGGAGTTCAGATTTTAGTTGACGGAAATACAGTGCAATACAGATCCAGATCTAAAGGTGACGAAGATACAGATTGTGTTACGAGTCGATACACCGCGGAGTCGGATCCCTAGATCCTTGCATCCTTAGATCCGTGGATTCCTAGACCGGTGGATCTCTAGATCGGTGGATCCCTAGATCGGTGGATCCCTAGATCGGTGGATCTCTAGATCGGTGGATCCTTAGATCGGTGGATTCCTAGATCGGTGGATCCCTAGATCGGTGGATCC